GCTCCTCCTCCTCCTCCTCCTCTACTTTCTGATCCCCCTGTATCCACGAGCTGCTTAGTCATTGTGGCTTTCGCGCGCCCTTGCTGAAGGCGGCACCGCCATGGCGGGAATCGCGCTTACCGCTTGAGCAACGGGGCCTGCCCAGCATGTTGCAGGGCGGGGCGAGCACGCCGCCGAGTGAGCTGCCGGCGCCAGCCAGGCCGCCGACGGTCTAGACGTTGGCCCGAGAGCTGGCAGACGCAACCAGACGCGGGACGGCGCTCGAACGTTCGCCACCGCAGCTTGGAAATGGAAACACACTCCTTCCTGTTCGCGGGGGCGTCGTGGAGCAGTTCTGGCGGAATACCCCCGCAGGAGCGGCCACGAGCAACCGCTACGCCGGGAACGGGGGCAACCAATTCAAGGACCAGAGTGGCACGCCAGAGGGCGACGACGCGACGCACGCCATGACAGAGACTCGCCGCAGACTTGAAAGCAGCGTGCGAGATCCACCTCGTGCGGCCTTCTACGGAGACTGCGCAGTGACCTGTGAGGCCCCGAACGGGGATCAGGCGGACGCCCAGTGCAAGCAGTGGTGGTGGAAGAGAACACCAAGCTGGCGCAGGAGCAGAAGGGCAGCCACATCGCCGAGAGGCTGGGAAGAAGTAAGGAGGTACACGGAGCCTTGGACGACGAGGCCGAGCTGGTCCTGGCGGCAGGCCTTGCCGCGCTCTCGCCGCTTCCCGAGCTCCAGCAGAACGCCGTCAACGGGAGTTCGCGCTACAGGATTAAAATGAAGGGGCCCTGGATCACACACAAATAAATAGACACTAATAACAGGATCCCCCACATTTCCCCATATTTTCTGGGTCGTTGTCTTCCCCCCCACTTCCCATATTTTCTCATATTATCGGGGGAATCGACGGTTAATTGTGTCTGTGCGTGTTCCCCTCCTGATAGAAGCACAACAAGATGAAGAGGAAGGGTCAGGCCAAAAACGCGCAGAAAGGACAGGACGGAGAGAGGCCGCCACAGGGAGGCGGCTGAGGGGCTCAGGAGTGGAGTGCGACGACCTCTCTGAGGCGCCCTTCGGCGAGGACCGGATCCCCACGCTCCAGGGCGAGGTGGGCACCTTCTCTGAGCACTCCCACCTGGACGCTTGCGAAGAGGAGGTCTGCGCTGGCGCGAGAGGTGCTGACAGTCGCTCGCAGCGCAACAGCGGGATAGCCGTGCGGTGCCACAATTACAACCCGTCGGAGATGGCCCCGATGTTCGCGCACAGACTCGCCGTCGATCATGCGGTGGCCCTCCTCCTCCTCCTGCCTCCCCTCCTCCTCCTCCTCCTCCTCATGCCTCCTCCTCCTCCTCCTCCTCCTCCTCCTCCGAGTGCCTCCCCCCCCTCCTGAGCTGGCCCACGATGGGGGGGAACCGTGGCCCGGAAGCGACGGCACGTGGCCGATGCACGGGCGAGGGGTGGCCCACGGAGAAACGCCGTTCTCCTGGGCAGCCCAAAGGCAGGCCCCCGTCGGCGCGGGCTGGGCCCTTCGGTGTCGCTGCTCGCCCCGCCTCCCCCCCCCCCCCCTCCAGCCGGCTCCCCGCGGCCGGCGCCCCTGACCTCCCCCTGCCTCCGTTCGCGTGAAGGGAGCGGGTTCTGAATGTCGGGCCCAACACGGGCCAAGAGGGCCCCAAGACGATCCAGGAGGGCCCCGAGTCGTCGAACGATCGTTCCAAGGCGCCCAAGATGGCATTCAGACGGCCCAAGATGTCTCCAAAACGCCCCAAGAGGCCTCCAAGAGGGCACCGAAGAAGTAAAAGTTGCCCCATTCCCTGAGAAAAACGTATGCTTTAAACAGATTCGCCTCTTGCGCTTTCATACCGTGCAAGACTGCCCCAAAAAAACCTACGGCAGGTCCGTGCCGTGTCGACCCTGGCGTTGGTTCCTGACACCGCGCTGGATCGTTCAACTTTGAACGATCGGCCGTCTCCGCAACGTCCGATCGTTCAACATCGACCGATTCTGGGCCGCCGTCGGCGTTCAACGTTGAACGTCGGCGGCGGGGTCGCCGCCGGTCGACACGACGCGAACCTACCGTAGGACAGCTCCAAGACGGCCAAAGAAGCCCCGATGACGGCCCCAGAGGGCCCCCGGACGGCGCCAAGAGAGGGCCCACGTGGGAAACCCGAACCCACATTTCCAGCCTTCGGCCCCAGGACGCCCCCGGGTTGCCTCCAGAAGCCCCCAGCACGCCCCAAGAAGCCCCCAGGGAGCCCGAACAGAGCCCCCCAAACGCCCCCAAGAACCTCCTAGGAATCGGACGAGCCTCGTGGAATGCAGTCCTGGACGCGCAGTAGATTGTAGAGGGGTCGGCGGATGTGGCGTAACAGGCGGCCCAAGAGTACCCCAAGACAGTATCCAAAGGGACCAGACAGCGCCAGAGCGCCCCCAAGACGCCCACACGGGGCTCCGAGACCTCCCAGAGGCCCCCACGAGGCCTCCCAGACGCCCCCGCGAGGACCCAAGAGGCCCCAAAGAGGCCTCCAAGGGGCCCACAAGAGAAATTCCCAGAGGCCCGACAACGACTGGACTGTACGTGCTCCAGACGTACA